CTACTCCCGTAAGGATTTACACCCTCGGAAACCCTGTACAGGGTCGCTATGGGTCGGAACCAACTCGACGGCACTTAACAACAACAACAACAACAAGGTGCTTTTACCTTGGTGCTTTATGTGGCATCTGTCTTCCCCAATCTCTGCTTCCTTTCTTCCTTTCATGTTTCAAAAGGAGTGGACTCAAGACACACCCGAAAGTGATACTGTGTAAACCCAAATGGCATTATAACCACAGGTTATAACCATTTGTTAGGATTTGTAACACTTGTTATTGGGGGACACAAATCCATGACCTTCCCACATGCAAAACACATTCACTCATCCCATCATTCCAAAAGTCATAAATCAATTCCAGATCAAATTCTCATCTTCTGACTCCTCTAAATCCATCTAAAAATCTGCAAACGGAAGGAAGTATTTTTCTTTGTTCCAGATGACATGTTAGAGTTATCTCAAATCTGCATAAATGCTGAATGTCATGAAAAACATCTTCAAATGATCCGTATGTACTTCTTTTTTTTTTAGTAGAACGTGTGCTTTGGAGAAGTTAATAATGAAGCAAGATCTATTTTTCTCTTGGCTTAATTTAGATGATGTGTCCCACCCATACCCCCAGATATTAAGACTTATAAACCAGAGAAGTTTTCCTATGCTCATATGTTTTCCTATGCAGAGATAACAGGGGATGCTCATCTCTGCATTCTGTAGCTGCTCCTGTTTTGAGCTCTTGTTCTCCGAAGCTGGGAAGAGCAGTGCAGAGCACTCCACATGTTTCTGAGCAATGAGGAAGCACCTAGCCTGGATGCAGATCTCATCTATATAGCAAACTGTTTGCTTTCTTTCAAGATGATTTATTGACTTAGTGGTTCTTTTCTGGTAAACTTCCAAATTAGCCTAATAAGGTATAGCTAAAAGTATTGTGTTTATTTATTTATTTATTTTTCTTCCAGCTGGCACTACGAGATGCGCTTTTGAAAAAGAGAAAAAGAATGAAGTAATTTCCAAGCAAATTTCCATTTCATGGAAAATGCTAAATATGTGTTGATACTGTAAAAATTTGTAAAAGTCCAGAAGCATAGTATTTTGAAAACGACCAGAAGCTTGGAAGCAATTTGGTGTTATTATTTTGAAGATAAGTAAAGGTGGAAGTGTTTCAAATGTAAGCAGTAACGGTGTTGTAAAATCATTTCCGTTTAGCGTTCATGCAGAGCCATCATTGAGTGCCTACTGAGTGTCTCTGTAGACACAAAGTGAATGAATGAGCCATAACTCCTTTACTCAGGACAGTCGCAGCCTAGTGCAGAGGCAGGTGGGTGTGTGCATGTGTTTACAGTGCAGTGTAAATAGTTTTCTAACAAGAGATAGGGACATATTTCTGAGGGGTCACAGAGGCCTCTGGACCAACTCTGCAAGGGAGGGGTTGTATATTTTCTTAAAACAAAAACAGACAATGTTACAAGAGTCAGACATTCTTACTTGTAAATAGGCTTGCCTGCTGTACAGAGTTTGGGTAGACAATTTAGCTCTTTTAGTCCGTCTCAAAGAGCTACATTTTTTTTTTCAATGCCAGGTAGAGACTTTTTGGTTAACTATAAGGAGCTCTGGTAGCGTAGTGGTTACGAATCGGGCTGCGAACCTTAAGGTCAGCGGTTTGAAACTACCAGCCGCTCTGCGGGAGAAAGATGAGGCTTTCTACTCCCGTAAAGATTTACACCCTCGGAAACCCTATACAGGGTCGCTATGGGTCGGAACCGACTCAACGGCACTTAACAACAACAACAACAACAATTGCTTTTTAAATTGCCTTATATAAGCAATCTTAGAATGTTTTTAGTTCTTCATTTGAGCCATCTGCTCTTCCATAGAGGAGAAAACAGATGAATTTTCACATCCTCTTTTTACCTTGTAATTTTAGCCCCAGCTTACCTTGTTTTAATAAAATGGTTGCTGATGTCAAGTAGGTGCTTCCATGGTGCTGACTGTGTGGTGTTCCTGCCATAGACATATTGCAGGGCTCTCGGGGCGGTGCCTGTTGCCACAACTGTCTTGGTAATATTGTGGTGGAAGAAAAAATTGCTGTGTGTTATTTCAAATTAGAGTAAAAGTCAATTTTAAGTTTTGTAACAGTGGTTTTATCTCTGCCATGTGTTTGAAATTACTTGTTCCCTTTCCAATTCTGTTCTCTTTTTGAGTTCAGCTTCTGCCTCTACTTGAATAAAACTTTGTGGGTTTTCCAGAGATACCCCAGATCACTGTTTGAGGATACCTGTAAAGACTTTGAGTTTTAAAATTAAATTAATTAAATTGCACTAGCCCTGGTGGCTTAGTGGTTAAGCACTTGGCTGCTAACTGGAAGGTCAGTGGTTTGAATATACCAGCCATTCCATGGGGTGAAATTGGCCATCAGCTCCCATGAAAGATACGATTTGGAAACCCTGTGGGACAATTCTACTCTATGTTGTAGGCCCTGTGAGTTGGAATCGCTTTTTTTTTTTTTTTTAGTGAGAGGAACTGTCAACCTCTAGTAACTTCAGAGCTTTAGAGAAAGTGTTCAATGCAAATTTGATTATTTCAAACCTAACACTGCAGCCTTTTCTTTCTGCATGTTTTTGAAATGGTGTTTCCTCGTGTGTCTAATCCAGAAACAGGTGAATAAAATTCAAAATAGCGTAGTAGCTAGGATCCGTAGCTTTGCTGTGTGGATTGTGAAAGTGCTTAGAAGATTTGTCTGTTAGATTTCCCATTCCACTTAAACATCAAGAGGTCAAAGATCATTCTGTGTTCTGACTTCTGCTCTACCCTGTTGCACTAGCCTGAGGTGTATTTGTAAGATAGAAAGCTATTCCATAGTATTTTATTTCTATTTGATTTCTTTTATTAATCATAGTCTCATGGGAGTAGTTTTTTGTTTACTATAAAGTTGGAGATCAGATCCTCACAGAGTTGGGTGTTGCCAGCAAAGGCTGAGACCTTGCAGGGTGACATTTACCTTAGAGAAATTAGGGTCTGCACTGCAGCTTTCCAATCTGACATTCTATTAACACTGAGCCTGGACAGATTTGGGGTGAACTCAGTTGTACTCACATTATCCAAGCTTATATAAAGCTGTGTAGAAATCCAGAATGCTGTTATATATGTGATTCTAGCAGGTTCTAGCAAACTTCACTCGAGGCAGACCTTTGCATGTTTACTGCTCTATCCCAAATGCCTGGGCCAGTGCCGCCTGGTAAATATTTGAATACATGCTGTAATGCCTGACATCAGTTTTCTCTCTCTAAATATAATATCCTATGCTTCACTGGTTGTTTTGAGAGTTGCAAAAACTAACACTATAAGCAGTTAGCATGGTACCTGCCACCACATAAGCATTCACTGTTTCTCATCAAAAATTGCTTTTATTTTTTCCATAATTTACTTAAAATGATCAATTACAGCTGCTATATGTACATTTTATATCTCAAATCTTTTTTTAAAAATAAGTTCAGAATATAAAAATGTTTACTGAGTGCCCACCATATGCAAAGAAAGCACTCTGAAAACTGCTATGTGGGTTGCAAATACAAGGTTTGTGCCCTATAGACGCTTTCAGTCCAATGCAGGCTGTTTAGAGAGCCATTCCAGAGGCAGAAGCATTGGGCTGGGGCCATCCTAAGGAAGGAGCTGGCGGAAGAGTGAGACACCTAGTATCAGCAGCCAGCCACGTCCATAGCATTGTGGGAACCGATCCTTGTAGTGAAGACAGCAGCAGTCGGAAATTTGTTTCTGAATCATATAAAGTTAGGATTTAGAATTTTTAAAAGATTATGATTATTATGTGGTGACTTCACATTAACCAGAACGTTTAATGAATTGAAGTACTTTGTTCTTTTAATTAACCTGCATTTTTAATTGTACATAAGTAATAGAGTGCTACCAAGTGATATCCTTTCATATTATGAAAATAAAGCTAAAAATAAACTGTTGCTTATATATTTGGAATGTACCTTAGGCGATGTTAAAATATCTTGAGTGTGAGTAAGAAGGTAGGACAGTCATATGGGGCTTTTTCACTTCTACAAAGTCAAAGCTCTGGAAATAACCTTTTCTCTCCTAGTACAGCCTTGAGTCAATGCTGAGTTTAAATACAAGCAAAAGCAAAGAACACAGCTAATTGTATACTGTATAAATAACTCTATCTGTAGTTATTTCTATAGGCATTTCTATCCGGGTAATGAGTTCCTTTTGCACATTCTACTCTCATTGCTCTTTCAATCCAATCTCAATTTGGAAATAGTTCACATAAACTGATTAACAACAATAATCCGGTAATGGAATACTAAAAATATATACAATGGGAATTTTTATTGTAAATGAAAATAAAAAGGCATTGATAGTACAATCATACCACATAGTGTAAGAAAATGGGGAGTAATAAAATCCCAAAAGGAAGTATACAAAGATATTAAACGTGACTTTCTTTTGAGTGTTAGGATCATATGTGGCTTTTTGTTGATATTTTTCTGCTTTGCTTTCTGAATCTTTTACAGTGCCCCCTGTTTTTATTTATATCATTGTGAAAGGAAGAAATCAGAAGGCTACACTTGGAACACCAGCTTACTGATTGGGTGCTAGTCATCCTTAGTGTGGGACCCTGTTTAACTCTTGCCAGCAATACCAAATATTAGCAGAAGTAACAAATTAGAACCATTATGTGGGAAAGTAATTTGTAATATATACCAAATAAACAAACCCACTGCTGTCAAACTGATTCCAACTCAAAGCAAACCTACAAGATACAGAACTGCTCCCCAGGGTTTCCAAGGCTACAAATATTTATGGAATCACATAGCCTTATCTTTCTCCCTAAGAGTGGTTGGTGGGTTTGAACTGCTAACCTTGGAGTTAACAGTCCAACACTGCATCACTAGGACTACTATATGTATACCAATAGGCTATAGACTAGTCAAACCTCTGCCCCCACCCCCAGTCACCAAGTACTCATAACCTTTTTTATTCAAGCCCACTTTGGGAGTCTAGTTAGGGAAGATTTTCATGCTAACAGAAAGCTTCTTTGATGGTTACCAGGGGTAGAAGAGGAAGGAAGGGTAAATTAGTTACTAAGGGTAGATTTGTATGAACTTGGCTGAAGGGGTAGGCAATATACAGTGAGAGGGAGATCAGCAACAAAATAAATGGAATGTATTCAAGAAATGGAGGAGTACGACTGCTTATATGAGGATACCAACCTCAAGCCAAAGAGCAAAACCATGAAAATAGAAACCACAAGGAGAAGTACTTACCAGATGATTAGCAGAAAGAAGCTCTAGTTTATGGAGTTTGGTGTGGCACCATAAGATAAGCACTCAACCTCAAGTTTGCTTTGAACTGCAAGGTCTTTGGAAACCCTATACAGGGTCGCTATGAGTCAGAGTCGACAGCACTTAACACCTTGGATAATAAAATATTTTGTGCAGTGACACTTGAAAATAAGATTTTTTTTGTAGCTAATCTTTGATATTTTTCCTACTAAAGAAATGTTTACAAACCCAGCAGCTGCTCCTCAGAAGCCCTGTACAGGGTCAGTATGACTCGGAACTGATTCGAGGGTTCTTAACAACATATATATATACATATACATATATACATACAAGGGGACTTCAAAAAGTGCATGGAAAAATTCCATTCTCATAATTACCACAGATTGGTTTTAATAATAAAACATTTGGAAATGATCTAAATTTGACATGGGACATAAAAACATATTTATTAAAGATCTGTTGAAAAAAGGTTACAGGATAGTGTATTAAAAATAAATAAATGTTAATTCAAACCCACTTTGAGAGTCTAGTCAAAGAAAGCAATCCAGAGCTGTGTTTGGCTGCAAGTAATATAGTCTGTCCTTCCAAAAACATTAACATTGTAACCCAATCACCATTTATCTTTCATAAGATCTGGTGATGCACACACAGTTCCTGACCCAGGTTCAGCTGTCCAGTGATGCCATCAAGATACTGGACAC